GATTTCCTCTTCTCGAAATCTTCTTTCCTTATGGATTTCTCAGTATTGATATAACTAATCTACAAATAATCAACTTGATGAATAATTAGTGATCCTCCTCCATATTTATTGCTTTTTTATAATCTGTCTTCTCTGGATTATCGAACTTGATCAATACATTTTTGTTAAGTATATAAATTGCTCTTACGTTACAAACAACCGATGCAGCGGATGGCTTGAAATATTTTTCTCTCTCAGGTATACTACGTTAATACACTAATACGATTATAAGACTAGTTCGCGTTATATCAGATCCAAGATTAACGACCCCAGTATAGACTAAATAATACTCTACTCAACATAGCCACAAACAGTCATACTCAGTGATCGCGGAGTAGAAATCAATGAAAGTAAAGGGAATCACATATTTAATAGTCAGTAGGCTAACTGTCTGTTTTTCGCGCTCAGTAACCAATCACACTCTACTCTAACTACCACATATCAGCATTTGAAGAGTGATGGAAAAAATGGACCTATATTAATTTTATGTTGATTACAGTTCTACATTCGCTACAATTTATAAATGTATAAACTTGAATTGAAAGTGAAAGGCCTTAAATTATGCGATATTAGGGGCTGATTAAAGTTTACATAAACCAAATATAAGATATATAGATGTAAACTGAACACATTATATAAATTCATTGGGTTTACTTGTTTTTTTTAATAGATAAAGTTGTAATCATTGAAAAATATTCTACCTCTGAGTACATACGTATAACACCTTGTACAGTTGTAATATGTCCTTCCAATGTGTAAGTTTCATTTCACAAATTCTACGTGTACGGATAATTGTACGCTGTAGAAGAGCTGTGAGCAGCTGTCCTGTGTATCATGGTTTCTATTGATTCCATACCTTATTACAATTTGTAATAAAACTTTTGTTCCAATTAGTCGTACGCTTTAACCACTGGCTGTGATTCTGTTAAAACGCCGATGTTGCGCAATCAACTGATGCACTAGCATCGATCAAGAAAAAGATATGGACAGAAAAAATGTATATTATGATTTAGCACAAAAGAGAACCGGTATGTATTACAATGAGGATAGCAAATCTGTCTGTGTTCGTTCACTGACCAATCACGGTTTACTTTTTCATCCGACACATAACAGATTGGGAAACGTCTTTTAGTTACATGTTATCTTGATTCGAGATTACACCGGCGTTTGGCGCTCATCGAATGTTATGCAATCCAACAAAGGACGGATTTCCAGAGTATCAATAGGATATTGTTCAACATTTTGTTTACTACAAACAGCTTATTCTAAAAAGTTAATATGTCCTATACTTTTTAATTCCACCTAAAATTAAATCATATTCTGAACAATCGTTAAAAAAAGATACTCTCAAACTTCTGAGACAAATCATCTAAGTAACTAATGATCTTGCTAGCCAATCAATAATTAGTGAATCGATGACTGAGCAAAATTTTTAAAAAATATTATCGCCAGCTATAGCAATTTCATTACATCTATCAGCGAAATGTAATCCGTGACTTCATGCTTCAAATTATAATCGCAAGTACTTCATTTAAATTTATGTTTAATTATGGATGAATTTCGAACGTGACCAAATACGCGAATCTTTACTGTTGTAACTGATACAATCGTATGTATAAACATGTCTGAATTCAAGTATATCAATGTTAAATTTTCAATCCATGTTTGTTTATTTTGGTTTCTCAAATTTTGTATTAACCTTTCTCTAGTATATATATATATATATATATTTGTCAGTCAATACACACAGATCTAAATACAAAGATTATGAAAACAACAGTTTTATTGATCAGTCTTTGATGAACTTATTAACTCATTTGAATGAATGTAGTGAATTCAGTTTAACTACATATATTAATTCTGATCATTACTTTTAACATTTTATTTAATGTTTTGACTTAAGCTAACACTCCCGGACACTTCAAAATCATTAATTGTTTTCCAAAAAAATTGAGCACTGGGTAGATTCTAGGTGACGGGAATAATATATTTGTATATACAATGTGATTCAACTAACTGACCAATGAAAGTGATCATTGGGTTGACTCGTTTTTCAATTTCTTTCGTGATCGTTGTTTTGCTCAAAATTTAACTATTTTTTTGTAAAGGTGAATACAAGAGTAAAAACTGAAGCCATATCTAGTAAGAAGGGTTTAAAATGAATATGATGGTCATTAGATAATTAAAATAACCCATTTTGTCATTGAATAAAAAGAGAGAATTCAGCAGAAATATTCTTTTCGACGAAACCATTTACTTAGGCTGTATATTCGTATTTATGGTTGTATGGTGAGTATATTACCTTTCATAATTCTGACCCAGAAACTATTTCCATCCTTATATTCTTCTCTTACTCCTTGATTATTGCGTAATGTCACTTGATAATAAGAGTTTCGAATCAATTTATGATGTTCTCTTTGATTGGATCTGTTCGGAACATAAGTTTTGTGATAGGAAGTCTAGAGTCACCATTCGCACAAATGTTTTATTATTGTCTGAGATAGTCTAACTAGAATGAACTCTGTTTGAAAATGAATTTTCAGAACTATTCATTGTGAATACCATGAGATCGGAATCTTATTAAAGCGGAGATATTGTTAGCCTATCCACGATTCAACGCAAATTAATCAGGAAAGTATGTTCAAAAGTCACCAGTCTTATCATTAGAAAAATAAACGATTTTCATACCACATTTCTTTGAATAAGTTCTTCTGTGTACTTACTGTTTCGATTATATTTTGTGATGACGAACCACCGGATCTACCTACTTTATTTGTATCTATTAGCTCATTAGCTCCTACTATAACCAAATTGAACTGACCGTAATCAACCGTCGATTTCTAAACACATCTTTCGATGTTTTGCCAATGTCGTTTTACACATGGATTACTTATGATCATTTCAAACTAATCAGAAAATTTTATTATGTAATATCATACTTTGAGTACCACTGTTGACTATGAATATTCCACATGTTGCCAGGTTATTGAAATGGAATTAGAAATTACTTGAACTATGAAGTGAACTGTCTTTATAATACAGCTGGTATGCTGACTACCTCGAGAAACCAGTCGGAAAACGCGGCCTAGCTGTAAAAGTTAGAAAGCAATAAAATTACAGTGAAATACCGCTCTTAATATGACAAACAATTCTTATCATATCTAAGTCCTGGTTACCGTATACTAAAAATATTAAATTTACGTTCTAGAAGTTGGGCTAGTGCTGTTAGTTATAACTCTACTGGGTTTTCTCCAGCAACTGACATCATCTATAATACAAATCTATCCAGACTAATGAGACGTATTTTGAACTCTATCACTCACGAACACAGAGCTTTCGATTCTCACTGAAAGAATACTATTAAATGGAAATTCAGTGATCCAAAGTCCCGAATTCGTCTAATTACTTGTATAGCGCATCTTTATTGTCATACATTAGATTATATCAGTCTCAATTTTAACATACCACTTATGGCAGTCTCTTACTAAAAAATCAAGAATTCACATAATGATTATTATTAGAGATTAATATATAGAACTTATACAACTCATATTTACTTTTCGCCAGAAACTAGAATTAACTGGTGAACTAGTGAAAGTTCCACCTAGATTTAAAATGTAATCATAAATTATCCATATTTTAGTCTATCTTTCTACATCGTGAATGATTGTCTCAACACACCCATTTATTACATGTCTTAGTATATCATTTTATGGCTAACAGTGGGATCCAAGACGTACGTCCTATCCTATTTGGGAGTCGTCGGTTGGATGTATCTGTATCCTATTGTTGATGCTTACACTGAGACTCGAACCTAGTATCTTCCATTTCATATACCGAAATGTGATTCACTAAGTCTAAATGTGAACATCAACTCCGAAATCCAGATATATCTAGCTATTGAGTGCAGAATAGGATGAAATGTGTCTTAAATTCTACTGGTAGCTACCCTCCCAACATATTAAATGATTTCTGTTGTTCTCCATATACAGGAACGGTTATTTCTAACTGCTTCAAACCTGAGTGGTCTTTTTTATTATCTACGCTCCACTTCAATTACTGGTCATCATTTCTCATTTGTATGTGAATGCCTATAAATACGTGTCTGTTTCATCCCCATGAATTTAAAACGGAACAATTTATGTCAAAGATAATGAGATAACACGTTTTGTTTAAACAACTAATTTATGCTCATACATACACAAATATTAGAAAACTATTATTTCTAATTTCTTCAATTGTTACATTGATACAAATTAATCAGATATGAAATATTTCTAATAGAATTAAATTTTCTGTACGATTAAGTTAACACAATGTATAAATGATCTCGGAAACATTTTTCTATATAATAAAAGACAAAATATACAGTTGTGATTTATGCATTATTGCCGATATGGATATTTAGCGTGAATAGGTAAACTTTTGAACAATAATTTTTGTGTATTTTCACTAGGTTTTTTTAACGGAAGTAAGATAGGCGTGTGTTCGAATTTCATTTTTTCAATAGATTGTCATAATTCACGTGTGACTTAAATCCGGGTGCCAGGTTCTCTGATTTAATTGCACGTATTAAATCACTACGTGTAATGGAATAGTTTAAGTCAAGAGTAGACTATTTGTTATCTGGGAAATAAAATCAGAATATTCTGAGTAAAAATTGTTTGAATTCTTTTGTTTTTTTTCCTGAATGACCCATTTTCTTAATTACTAAATTTTTAAATTACTTAACAACACACCCTTGTGACAATATTAGCATAAATTTAAAACTCCCTAAGAGCTCATATCCTAAACATTTGACCTTATGATAGACATCAAATTAAAATCAAAACAGTATTCATTTTGAGTAGTGTGAATTGCAGTGATTCTCGTTTCTAAGTATATGCAATAGGACCGTGGATACAACGAGGCCAACACGAACATAATAGAAGTAGCGCACAACTTAACAGTTTGTAAATTATGTGCTTCAATTCGTTTAGAACATTTTATACACAATAAGGAGGATAGGCCAAAGTACTGGTCAACAAGCGTAATATAAAAAGAGTTATTTTCATCACTATTGTCACTAATGAATCTTTATTTCTTTTATTATAAATAAATTATAGACAATGACGGATAAAAGTTAAAACGGAGCTATGTAAATAGAGAAAATGAAGAGAAGAGAATGAGATAAAATTAACCAAACGTTTAATAATAATAATAATTACTATCATTATCATAAATAAGAATGACCAATTAAAATATATGATAGACAAAAGTTAAATAGTCTTGCTCCTTTCACATAGCCTACAGGTATATAAAATGCGGACAAGCGTACAGGCACACGCATAAATATCGGATAAAGCATCAGTGAATGAACAACAGCAAAACTGTGCAAAAAAATTAGCAAGAGGTTTATGTACTGGGGACCGTGGATATGACACATGAAAACAAGAAATCTTCACCTGTTTATAAAGAAGTATTATGGCACTCATCCGCGTGTACCGGGAAAGAAAGGATATATAAGGAAGACAGTAGTAGGTTGTTTCAGTATTAGGGAAGGAGAGGATACACGAAGTATAGCTTACAAAATTACAGGATTACTTGGTATACCATCAAATAAACAGAAGCAATAACAAGGAGATAAAACTTTGATGGGCAAGGAGAAAACGAATCATAGGATTAATCATAAAACTACATAAATAAGTTGTACAATTTTATGACTGATTAGTTGATTGATTGGTATTACATCATCGACATTAGATTTTGTTTCATTTTGACTTACTACTACTGTTTTGACATTATGCTTTCTGTGTCACTGTTAGTCAACGCCACTAAATGAACTAAATCAAGAGCTCTCTGAATAAAAATACAGTACCGCCGAGTATTTAGTGGATTTGACTAGTAGTGTCACAGAAAGCATAATGTCAAAACAGTAGTAGTAAGTCAAAATGAAACAAAATCTAATGTTGATGATGTAATACCAATCAATCAACTAATCAGTCATAAAATTGTACAATTTATAACCAGAATTAACAACTAGAATAGCGATGAAAAAAGATTCGAAGAGGTATCTTATGATTATTATCATCATAACTAAATAATAGCAAATAAATTGAATCAATACACACGGAGGTGTGCACAGTCTTCAGCTATCAATGTACATGTTAAATAGGGAACTGCGATAAAAACTGTGCAAATGAGTTTTTCTTACTAATTTTCTTTTTTAAAATAAAAAATGGAATAAAATTTCATGTTTATGTATATATGTAGTGATAGACGGGGAGGAGTTGAGAAAGAGAGAGTACAGAGCAAAAACTACTTAGTGGAATCAATGTTTGTTAATCACTTGGAAAGCTTAGAATAATACACAGTAAGATGGATCAATTTAGTTAGGTAGAAGCATGGAAGCATTTGAATTAAAGTTTCACCAACTTTTATACTTCACGAATACATGTGTGATTTTTCTAGTAGCAATAAAATTCAATGAGTTGATGTATCGACTGTGAAAAGAAAGACAAAGGAGATGGTAAATGTAAAAATATATTTGAATTTATGAATAAATTATTAATCAGTGAATGAAACAGTAAAAATTATTGAATATTCAACGACGACTCAGTTTGTGGATGAAGTGAATTAGACGAAGGAAAATTGAACGCAACTTTTTGTTATTATTACTGACTGATGTACTTTATGAAACATGAATAAGTGACTTAGTAGATGTACATTGATGAAAGACTCGTATATGTAATGGCAAATATTGAAATCGTGTACATTGATAAAACGACCTAATAATTTCATGTAGATATGGATGTTACTTACAATTCCAAATTTTTATGAAAGTTTAACATATTTAAATATGTGAACTATGTGTACCATTTCATGTACGTAGTCAAGCATTAATCTTTTTCTACGACCTTTCACAATAACTTTAATGTGTGGTGTTACTTGCCCGTACTTTTTTGTGTATTAATACTGGATCCATGAAACGGGCCATTCAGCGGTACTAATGAGTTAGTTAAAGCTCCTTTATCGCGTCGTTCGCTTACAGATATTCACCAAAAAGAACTTTGAACGTTCTGTGGTATAGTTCAGAATACTGAGTCATTATGGGCATAACATCTAGTCGGTTCAGATATCTTTAAAATAATTTAGTTTCATTCTTATTCTCTAAATAGAATGGTGACTCAACTAGACATTCATATGTAGTTACACCTAAGGCTTATAAAAAAAGCTGACAACAGCAACTAATAAATCTGTAATGTAAAGTTTTAATTTGTCGTATAACATTGCTGAATGTTTGATGATTACTGTAGTCTCAGTTGAAATAAGGAACTTTATTGTGTTCTATTTGGATAAACTAGTCGAAATACCAATCAAGTTGAGTGTTTGTAATTAGTCGTGACAGTTGATGAATATAAAATTGGATATAGTTTTTGAGGCTCCTTAAAATTGAGCATACAATGTCTACTTTAGTTATTTATTAAAATGTAAACTAAAGAAATAATCATATCGATGTTCATAGCATATATTGTTTAGATCTGAATAAACAAAGGTGGTATCTTTAATATTCCTTCATCATACCGATGGGGACAATTCACCAACAATTCGAGATTCTGAGTTGTAAAAAAACAGAAAGTCACTTACCACTTAGTCCATTATCAGGTAGGAAGAAAATCTTATTTCTACAGTCGTGTTTTATTCAGATAGTAGAGTAGGTGCATTCATTGAGTTGAAAACAGTGTACATAGTATGCATCCGATTGCCTGCTTCATTCAAATCACAGATAAGGTTAAGCTGACACTCCGTCTATCAAACTAGCAGATACAGTGAGGGGTATGGCTATTTTTCTTTAAATGGATTTGTGTACTGCGTTTCTAGCAAAACATCTGTGATGGATACGGGGAAAAAGCGAATGTTAAGACTAATGTTGATTGAAAAGGAGCTGGAATCAGTGACCCACAAAATGAAGGATGAGTATGTAGATAAACAAAACTATAGAGGTTTGGTAAGAAAAACTACGCTAACATTTCAAAACATAAATTATTTGTGAATAAACAGAGATACTAAGCTTATAAAAAACTAGGGCAAATCAATCTACTGTCACTTACGAGGAACAGAAGACAATGAATCGGGTTTGGAAACTTCATGATCAGGATCTTCCGACCACAAATATACAGGATTACCAGACTTCTGCATAACACTATGCATTAGAAATGAAAATAATATGCAATTTGTTTTATCTAGAATGGTAAAATTAATAGGTGGCGTAAACAATACACTAAACACTTTATTAAAACTTAATTTTTATTTGAATCAGAAACTGGTGCCTATTAGGATTATTCTGTGTTGCCAGTGGTCGATTATTGAAAACAGCTATATACTGAGAACTCAATATTGTACTAAACACATAATCTTGAATAAAGTCAATATTATTATAACAACGAAATTAATGAATCGATATGAAATATCATGGATAATTACCATTATGAATTACTTCTCGTTATGCCCTGTCAACTATGCATTAGTTAACACTAGTAAGTTAGTGTATATGCCAAGATAATTGGGAGTCCATATCATATTCACTAATCTATTTTTGCAAACCAACCATTAATTAGAACATCAAGAAAACGATACTCATAATTCACACTATACTGTATTATTCTAACTTCAATCCTCATGTGATTGATACATTAAATACAAGACCATGGATGCACCATGAATGATAATTCACAATACGCACAAAAATAGGGACATTTACAGTGCAAAATCTTAATAACATGCTTATTAATAATAAATAGTAAGTTGTGAATGGTAGAAGAGATATAGTAACAGGAAATTGATCGAATGGAAACTTTCAATTACTGCACTACCAAAACATATCAAGAATCAATTATTAAAGTGAATACATATAAAAAGTAAATAAACTGATTTATAGAAAAATAACTTCCTAAGTTATCAATTTACATTTATTCACCTATTTATAAGTTACCAGTTAACAAACACGAAGTAAAAAAGAAGTATAGATTTTGATATTATGCAGAAAAGTGAGGATGTCTCTTCACTCCTACGCTCAAAGAGCTATCGTGGTGTGTGCTACTTATACGGATACATATAAGCAGTATGTATGGTAGTAGGATTTTTACTGACTGAAGAGGAAACTGAGGAAAAGAAAAAAAACAGAAGTAGTCCGAGAAGAAACAGGAATGGAAGAACGATTGAGTATCTAAGAAGCAGTTCAAGGAAGATGGGGAAATGGTGTATTCAATGTATTGTTTATATATTTTACAAATGCAATGTGATTTTGCTAGAAACAATAAATCTGTTTGCTCTAACCAAGTTTTCCCTCACTACACTGACACAGAGAAATGGAATTTTGATTGAGATCATGAACTGATTGATGTTAGACCACTGTTGAAAACCTGGAAATACTGGACAGCCGTTTCATCCTGTTGTGGTAATCCTCAGCAGACCACTTGAGCCAGTATCCAACGGTGTTAATGTCTAACTTCAATCAATCCACGAAATTGCGTGACCATCTTCCAATGTAATGAGGTAGACACCTCTGCCTACAGGACACGCATTAGCTCCACTGGTCACGGCTTCTCACTAGAACTCCGAGAATCCCCTCACGAAGCTAGTCACTAGTGAGCTTTTAGGTTTCCAATGGTCTCACATCAATTGGTTCATGATCTCAATCAAAAACCTAATAATCTCCACAACCCCATACTGAGAAATGGAATGGTTGAAGATAATTTTATGCTAAATAATTGGTTTTTACAATTTATCTTTATGAGAGAATTTATGCTAGATACACAATTGTGTGCTGATACAAATTATCATGTCACTCAGTCTAAAAAAATGAAGTCTTATGATTACTATGTGAAGTAATCTACCTTAAGGACAGGACGAGAATGCGAACTTCATGAATACTGCTTTGAGTGTTATAATAACAAGAATAGGTGCGTTTCGCCAGTCAAAATAATGTTCTACTGATAGCGTAGGGGGTTTGGTTTGATGCGGTTGAGTGATAACCGTGTAAGAAATAGACTATACTAACTTATTTCTTCTTCACTGAGTGATTAAAGTGAACGACGATCTAAAAACGGTGAAAAATCCGAATTTTCTCACGACAGCTATCCTCTATTTTTACTCCAACAAAAGACGCTAATTCCTTATTATTTTGTGGTTCTTTTCAACCTATTTTTAGGACGTTGTAAATGTATTTATGCTCATGATGTTCATTTAAATCAATCTGAGTTAGTCCCAACCCATTAGTCCTTCTTGCACGATCAGTTTTTAGAGTAGCCGGAACTAGGAAAAATACGTTGTGGGATTTAGGAGATGTTGCTGTTATCTTTCGACGTGGCTAAAGAATATAACCAGAATTTACACATTATCTAGTAATACCAAGCAACTATATTCTGATTATATATTGAATATGTATTGTTCCCAAACCGTTATAGTGGAGGAAGAGGTACGAGATGAGTTAGTTACATTTTTTAAGACACAATAAACAACCTGGTTGGGGTCCGCGTGACTATCGTAACCAATAGTTAGGGACTTTTGGTGACATGGCTCAGAATCGATCACAATGGCGTAGGTGTATACATTCTCTGTCTTCCCTTAAACTGAGAGATTAAAATCGCTTCATATCTTTCTTTCTACGAACTAATTCTTTCTTCCTGTACTATATCCTTATATGCAATCTTCCTTTTATATATTATCACCATTGACTTAACTACTCCTATGAATCCGGTGTTCATCTTGCTGTGCTAATGCGGTATGGCAACTTGGACCGATACATATATGTTCCTGGTCCTACGTTGTAGCTGACTGACTGACTCAGATGATGATTTTTAAGCTCAAGGTTTCGCTGCTAGACCCCATCAAAAATATCCCCTAGAAAAGCTTTAATCGTTGGAAGTTTGAAAAAGATGTGTAATTAAAAAGTCATTTGGATATGCATAAAATAGTGATTAGTTACTCATCCAGACAATAGTTTCAGAAAGGAAGGAATAAACCGTAAATGAAACGGGTAAACGTCAGTGCAGAACCTGATACAGAAGCGTACACGTACATTTTCGAAGAGCATATGAGAGGGAATCGACAGAACATGAGTGAATCAGATACAAATACACTGAGACCGAAAGCCTCTGCTTGGTAACTTAGTTACATTTTAATAAAATAGATCAGAACACAGGAAAGAATAAATCTCAAATGAAATTCTATTCTTGTAACAGACTGAACTATTGGTAATTGGGGTACTCTGGCAGCAATTAACGGAGATCTATAGTGAGCTATGCACCAAAAAAACCCTTACCACTAAAATTTACTATGAATAAAATAGTGACATTAAGTAACTGGTATCACTCAAAAAACAACCAAACAACTTTCATCTTACTTTGATCCATTAAGGTGAGGTAGATCATGCTGATAATGCCTAGATGTGTCCGACACAGAATGCATAACTGAAGATAAAATAGTGTATAAGAAAACCAAAATAGTATTCTTGACTACTTTTGATAGCAAAATATTTAAATAATTTGGTGACCAGTAATAAGGAAATAAGTAATTCCAGGATGCAATACAAAAATTATTTTTATCGACAGAAATGCATAAGGAATGTTTAATGCAAGATGCGAGATGATAGCAACCGATAGTTAGAGACCTTGAATGACTTGGCTTAAAATCGTTTGCAATGGCGCTGGACTTTCTCAGGGAGCGGTTAATTCACAAATACAATTTAAATTCTATGACGGAAACACGTAGAATACAAAATGGTAAACGAAAACGCTGGAATGACAGAGATGAAGAACAGACAAATTAGGAAATCAAACAATTTTGTCCTGAAATATATACATATTTAAGTGATCCATATTTAATCACTCATAGTCGCACTAGTTCGTAATAATATCTGTCCATCACTAGACAACGTATTTGAACTTCGGACAGAGTATATGAATGAATTTTCGCGTGATCATGGATACATCTTACTAATGAGTATAAACAAGTATGAAAATGGAAAGCTTCTTATTGTACTATTTATTGACAGATAAACCACTATAAATAAAGTGCACTGTGGACTACTAAGAAACATATTACTTAAAATATGTTCTTATGATGTACTGAAGTCATAGAAACACGATGTTGCAGAGCTTTACAAATTGATTGATCATTGAGTAGTGACCAATAACATGTATGTCAAACCCTTCTTAGTGCTAGTCGAATTCTATCGACCGCACCGTGGTTACCAATCCCCAAATGCCCTGGTGTGATCGAGGGTGTGGAGAGTCCACTCTCCCTCTTCAAATGTTCCCACATGGCTACGCGTATACAGTCACTGTCAAGGAAATCCTACTCACTGCTTTCTCGTGGCGGGGGTGTTGTTTAGGAGATTGAGAGGACGAAAAGAGAATGTCTGGTGCTTTACCCGGGTTAGTAGATACGGAGAACCATCTGAAGGAGTTGGAAAATCCTGATTTCAAACTAATGGTGTACATGGGTTCCAGTATCCTGAAGGAAATGGCGTATGAACGTAATGTTGGTCACCGGCTACTATGGGACTGCATTTCCTAACGTCACTCCATTACCTTGTGGATAAGACCTCCAGGTTAAGAGCACGGGGAGTGGCTCCCTAAGAAAACCACGTGCTTCAGTTTGGGCACCCGGGCAGCATTCTAGCCCACACAAAAATCAAGTGATTTGTGTGGTGCATATGTATTTGGTGCCCTCTTGTACCAATGTTTATGCGTTTAAATAAGCAAATAACTAGTCTAAGTGTCACAACAACGTTTGCATTATGTTAAAGGTAAGATAGTGTTTGGGGGTAGTCGACAGTGAACCCTGCATGACATGGGTTTCGTCCTATTTGGTACTCGTCAGCGCAGTGCACCTGTAATCTCGAGGCAACTAATGCTCTCTGGAAGTTTCGATCCCATACCCCTCAGCTTCATAGTCAGACGTTACCACTGAGCTATTCAGGCCACAAGGATCTCTTGTAGTGCTGAGATTTATTTACAAGTGATTGATTATTATGTAATGAAAAATGTAGTAACTCGATACAGTATCGAATTCGCCAGAGAGCAACAATTCCCTTTACGTTACAAGTACACCGTGCTGATGAGTGTCAAATGGGAAAAACCCAAGTCAAGCTGGGTGTTCTGTCGACTACGTCCAACAATTACTTTAAGTATTACAGAGTATTGTCCTTATTATTATGTAACAACTAATTCATAAACCATATTCAATAAATTTTAGATAATTTAAATGAAATCTATAAAATACAGATATAAAACACAATAATATGTGTTTACTTGAAGAACTATTGTTTATATTTACAGAATCACCAGAGTCCTGAATAAGTGTACTATTAACTGAATAGAAACTAGACACAGTAGAATCACTATGTTCATGATGTTGAGGCCAATTATCATTTGTACTTTGATCATTTTGTATTTGAGAAGAATTACGTCTGACAATTGAAAATAATATAAAATTAGTTTAAACTAATAAAATTTATAATGAATTAAAATACAATAGCAACAATAAGCAGAGCATAACATCAACTAGAAAAATTTCATTGGTAGGAATTAAAATTAAAGTTGAAGAGATGAACAAATATTGTGAATTATTTCAATCAGGTTAATCATAGGCAACATAGAACTTGGATAAATATGCCTACAAGTCTTAGTTACGCATAAGAGATTCACACGTTTGAACAGTCATTAAAAGAATGAAAGGGTGAGAGTGAAGACAGCATATTGTTACTTCATGGTTGACCATTAAGAAAGGAGACTAATTATGTATGGATAATTTGATTCAAGCGTTTAGATGCATTCAGTTAACGCTTACTACAATAGCCAACATATTTTGCTTAGTGAAGTAAATATCTGCTCTACTTACGGCTTTTTATTGAATGTATGTGCTTCTAAAACCCAATTAATTCCTTCGTTTGCTTGTATTTTCTCACATTTCCATTTCTATTCGAATTCGCTTTGTATGGTTGTGATCATGTGATCTGTGCTGTACAATGATAAACTGTAGTCAACACTTTGTATTGTTTTCTGAAATTTATAACGGTTGTCAGGACGAGTGACATGCGGTGCACTAAGAATTATCCCGAAGATATTCCACTACACAGTAAACCATGAATGTCCATTTTATAGGTGTGTAGCAAGCCCATTTAACTATTGTATCATTTGTCTACTCACTGTAATTCAGACACTTCATTCACTATGTTACTTTCTGTGTGTCTATGATTGAGCGCGTGTCCGCACATCAACCCAAATCTATTCTCCTATTGGTTGTAACACACAGACAGTCAATAATTTATCCACATTTGATTGGCACTCAAAAACATACGTGGATTTTTAACTCTCACACATTCGCTTAGTTTCAGTGCGCTTGCTCACTGTACGCTTGTGGATTTTATTTATCTTGAACAACAAAATATCTCTACAACTGGTGTTCAGGCCTCTGAATAATCTCGAGTAAATCCATAATTCCACTAGGAGAGTTAGCCTACCTTAAATATTCAGTTAACGGGATATCATTTATTGGAGTCAGATATAGAAGAAAGCCCTCAACAAGTGACGTAATTTGGTAGAATGCTTTATGAAAAGTAAACCGGCTTCAGTGAACAATGAATCGAACAAGATATCGTAAGGCGTAGTACAATGATGTTATGATTTGCAGGAAACCGGTAAGAGCACGCAAGACATAAGTACAAGGAGGTAGCGACACACATTAAACTGATCGTAAAAGATTAGAGAAACAGATAGTGTAGTGTTACGCAAGTCCACACAGCTTATTCTATCTTCCGAACACGTCAATTTATTCATTCTTCTTGAGTCACTTTCTGACCTTGTTAATTATTCGCTTGTCAGCTTTGATTGTTGTTAAGTAAGCATATGTGTGTGAATTTTCTATCTTACTCATCACATATCTGTAACTTATTTTTATCTGACTATAAATATCGATTCATGCTTGGTTAAATCGTGTTGGTTCACACGTCTTCTCCACCGCGCGCCATTTTGCTTCATTTTCTTCGCTTCGTTTCTCCGATCGATTGTCTGTTCAGGTCAACGATTGTATGAATAAATACGTATTTAAACTTCGTTTTCATTCACTCATTAACGCGAATTAAGTCGATCACAATATACAAGGATTGACGATATGTATATTTTGATAACATTCAATCATACGATATAACTGGAATCAGATTTAGGGCCACTAAAATAGATAATAGACTATTTAAGTGAACTGAATGGTACACACAATCTGAATTCGCATATGTATACATATCAAATTATTTTATTAAAAAAATTGAAGACACTAACTCAACATTACTAAGTTGCTATTTTGACAATCACTCTTGATTATGTTTATCCACTTCATATGTCGGTGGCATTATTTTATTGTACTCTTAAATCGCCGTTATTGATGTACACCTTTTTTGAGTAACCCTTTATTAGAGTAAACATAACGCTTTCTGATGATATATATATGAAAGGGTAAAATATGAATCCATAATGCATATTGCAAATATACGATCCTTTTTTCAGAAGAAAAATGGTAATTCACCTTAATCCAGCAACAGCATCTTTAGCATGTGCAGACAAACGACCTGCGCCTAGCATAGATTGCAATAACGCAGATTTGAATTGTGGTGTTCTATGACTAGCACTTGAACTATTCCTTATCATTGTCAAATCTGAATTGCCTGTCACTTGTGTTGTTGCTTCTGCATCATTCACATTACTTAATGGTGCATTGTTATTATTGTTCGACTTTCCATTGATGGTAGTAGTAGTGATAGTAGTACTGGAGACGAGATCTTCACAAGTGTTATTTACATTATTTTTCAAATCGTTTTCAGTAATTGTGTGTGAAAAAGATGACTGGTCGACAGATTCGTCATTAAGTGAAGACTGTAATCAAATAACACAAAATGTGTATAACGATTAATTTTATTCCTTCAAATTTATTGAGGATATTCTCTATAAAGAAATATCAATCAAGATTTAAGTATTAGGATTCAGCTTAATTATTATTATTTATTATTATTCATGGCTTTATTCAATATATCTTTGGTACAATCTAGAATTCTCAGCACAAAGTATTTCAACAAGTTTCGTTTTCTTATTTCTTGATGGATTCTGGTGATAAATGTTGAGTAATCGTCAGTTAGATGTTAGCAGTTCAGGAATCGACACTTAGATAATGTTCATTTTCTCAATGCATAATGCCAGCCGCGCGATGTCTCTGATTGTACATGTTGTGACTTGTACAGAGAAAGGTCGTAGGCTTTTCATAAACGCTCCTGAATAGGTTATGCGATTAATAGACATAATGACATGTTAAAACGAACAGAATGCAGATAACTTTATAAAATATCTAGATGAAAGGTACATGTAACCCAGATCTTCAAGTAGACCTCTATTTAGCATTGTTAATTTAAATACTAATTAATAAATGGCTTCCAAATCAGTGATCTGTTTACGTGGAAAAGGAAATACGCTACCAATAGTCTAAAATATTCATGTTGGTTGGCAAGCATCAGCGGAGAATAAATGTCGCACTGTAAATGTACAAGAGTCGGTAGCAAAAATGTTTAAATTTGATAACAATTAGCAACCAAACTGATGTTTTTGCAGAAGTGCAAAACTCTGTAGGTGCAGTATCGTTCAAACTCACGTTTCTCTAGCCATAGAACTAAACTCGTGAGCCACCGTAAGTCATATAAATCTATTTCAAATATAAACCTACCGAAGATTCATTCACCCTTCCACCGTCAACAGTAAAAATGACTCTGCCATTAGAAGTTTCATAAATCTCTGATGGATTGATCCCCACCTTAGGTGCTTCAACACCTATAGTTGGTTCTTTGTTAACGATTCTATCAGGCGAAGCACAAGTAGTATCAGGCACTAAAGATGACTGTGTGGTATCCGTTGATTGAAGATTGGTTGTAGACCCAGATTCACTAGTTGCCTCAGATGTTAACTTCATTGGTCTTTTGACACGAGACATAATACTGTCCAACTTTTTCTTGCGTAAAACTCTTTCTTCTTCACTACGTTGCAATTTTGCAAGACGCTCTGCTTCTTCTGCTTGAAGCTAAAATAATTATAGTACAAAAGAATGAGAATACTATTACACATTAAAGTAGTAACTATCGAAATCACATTTAATGCTTTGACATTGAAAACTAATCCAAGAGTTTTAAAAAGCCATAATTAAACAAGTACTAAAAAGATTATTTATGTTATATTAAAGTACATTCTTCGTGTACAAAATAAAAAGCGATACGGTAAAAACCAATAGAATTAAAAGCTATTTTATTATGTTACAAAAACCAATATTTCACTAAATTACATTAAGTTTACACTGGATAAAGTCAAATAATTACATCTTTGAAATATAATACAGGTTATTTGTAAATCAATCAAGATATTTACACGAGAACTGGAAGCTCTTACTTACATAAATGTGTACAACCTGATTTTTAGTTTACTTCACACATTGGAGATTATATGCCACACTAAAAATTCTGGAACTTGTGCTTGATAATTAAATGCAAACTGGAACTATTTAACATTGTAATTCAAGATGAAAATCTTGATTGAAATTAATATTAAGAGTAAATAGATAATAGTTTCGATAATCATAGAACATGAAATACTTTTATCTATCTTCATAGAGAAATGGTAGGATAAAGAGAAATAATAATTACCCTAGCGGCTTCTTCCGCTTCTTTTGCACGTTGAGCTTCTTCAGCCTCATGAAGAGCTTGCTCCTCCTTTAAACGAGCTTCTTCAGCCAAACGAGCGTCCTGTTCTTCTTTTAAACGAGCTTCTTCAGCTTCGGCAGCTAAACCAGCTTGCTCTTGTTGGATTCGTCGATTACGACTCTCCTCTTCCAATCGTCTAAAAATATATATAATTTCTAAATCATATTAAACAAATAGATTAAGAAATAATAGTGAACAATACTTAAAGGTGAATTGTGCTATATGAACGAGTTGGTTTTTTTGTTCATCGGGTAATTAATGTACAGACATAAAACCATTTACTACATAAAAACTCTCAGTAGCATACATGTATATTGTTTAAACCTTTTTTGGTGAATGTAGTCTTTCTCGACCATTATCACTTAAGTCTATTCTATTGTATTGTATAAGGTGTAGGAGGAACTGAGGTCTCATGAATTTGGAATACTCTATGCCCAACTAGTACATTACTAGTTCAAACACAAGTAATCTAAAATAATAAAAGGATATAGGGATTACTATCGATCAACAGTTAATTGATGTTACGTAATTTTGTATACGAAAACTTGTTTGAATATGCAGGTGAATTATTTATTTTAACGAATTCCTAAATTAACATAAAAACTAGGTATAAGAATTCTGGTCGAAATACCGAAGATGTCGGCAAGTGTGATAACTACGGGGGCATCACTCTCCTCTCAGTACCAGGAAAAGTCTTCAACAGGATGAAGCACTCCGTAGACGCCCAACTTCGAGACAAACAGGCAGGATTCCGTAAGAATAGATCGTGTACAGACCAAATCGCAACTCTACGGATCATTGTGGAACAATCGATTGAATTGAATTCGTCACTCTACATCAACTTCGTTGACTACGAAAAAGCATTTGATAGCGTGGACAGAACGACACAATTCTTATGATGGATTAAACTGCGAAATTGCCCATGGAGGACAGCTCACAGACTCGTTCGAAGTAAAAACCGGTGTCAGGCAAAGTAACTTACTCTCACTCTTTCTTTCTCCTGGTGATCGACTGTATCATGAAGACGTCAAGATCTGAAAGGAAGTATGAAATACAGTGGACAGGTAGGTGCAGTTGTACGATCTAGACACCTCAGATGATCTAGCTCTTCTATCGCACACGCAACAACAAATGCAGAAGACGACCAGTGTAGTAGCAGCCTCAGTAGCACTAAGTCGCAACATACACAAAGGAAAAAGCAAGATTCTCCAATACAACACAGCATGCACCAATCCAATCACAATTGACGGAGAAGATCTGGAAGAGGTAAAAACCTTTACATATTTGGGCAGCATCATTGATGAGCACGATGGATCTGATGCAGATGTGAAGGCGCGGGGATCGGAAAAGCAATAGCAGCATATTTACAACTGAAGAACATCTGGAATTCGAAACAACTGTCTGTCAACCAACACAAAAGTCAGAATTTTAAATACAAATGTCAAGACAGTTCTACTGTATGAGGCGGAAAAATGGAGAACTACGAAGGTCATCATCCAGAAGATACAAGTGCTTATGAACAGTTGTCTACACCAAAATACTTCGGATCCGTTGGCCAGACACTATCAGTAACAAACTACTGCGGGAGAGAACAAACCAGATCCCAGACGAGGAGAAATCAGGAAGAAGCACTGCAAGTGGATAGGACACACATTGAGGAAAGCACCCAACTGCGTCACGAGACAAGCCCTCACTTAGAATCCTCAAGGCCAAAGGAGGAGAGGAAGACCAAAGAACACATTACACCGAGAAATGGAGACAGATGTAAGAAGAATGAACAACAATTGGATAGAACTAAAAAGGAATGCCCAGGACAGAGTGGGTCGGCGGCCTATAGCTACATTAGGAGTAACAGGTGTAAGTAACTAAGTAAAATAATAAGAACACACACACTCACCCGTCTCCTTGTGTTCTAGCTTTCTCCGCGCTTGTGGATTTCTACTAAACATTAAAAATAAACTATCTCTACAACTGGTGTTCAGGCTTGGAACGATTGCTGAGTGTTCGCATATTTAAGGTCAAAGTGAGTTTTTTTCAGAAAGTCTCTCATATACATTTCTTGCTGCTATTTCCTCATTTTGTATATTACAATCCATAGCTTATTATTATTGCTACTGATCAAGCATAACCCGATATAACATTTATCAGTACCATAGAACGTACGGTAAACAAGCTAAAAGTATATATATATATATATATATATATATATATACTGACCTTTTTTCTTCTTCCATTCGCTCTTTTGCTAAGCGACGTTGTTTAAAAAGTTTTGCACGATAAATTGCTGCTTCATTTTCAGATAAAATGGCACCTTCACCTGAACCACGTGTCTCAGCCTTAATTGGACCTATTTGTGCAATAATGGACGAAGTTTCATTCTTTACATCATTAACTTGAGATGAAGGAGATGGAGTAGAGTCGCTGCAAGGCACTTTTGTAATAGAGATATCTTCAGCTACTTGAGTAACACTTTCTGACTCAGATGAAGACTGAGGTAACGGAGGAAGACTGGAAATAGCTGTTTCTGGCTCCTTCAAAATGAATGAAATATCAACCATATAATTATACAAAAACATTAAACGGAAAGATAAAACGTATAACCCATTTTCTTAAGATATTTAGACAGATTTAATTATATAAAGTATTTAGCATACGCTTCACGAATGAGACGAATACTTTGAGTTAAAATGTAGATAACTGAGCCAATTTGATAATAAAACAATAAATAACTTGAGAAAGTGAGTAGTAATTCACGTCCAATAAAGCTATCGACAAATGTTATTACAACATCGTAATATTACTGTACAAATAAACCATTTTCCAGGTTCACGCTGAAAATGAAAAGCTCAGCATTCATTTAAACAGTTTTAGGCTTAGCTGAATGCTTCTCTACAAAAGTGTATAATCATAGATGGATGGATTTTTGACGATATCAAAACGACATAACGATAGGCATTCAGAAGGAAAATATTAGTACATATTATTGGAATTAATAGCTTATGACGACAGTTTACTGTCCCCAATTAAGAGTGGTGGTCTGTGTAAGTGGTTTAGAGGAGTATGTTTGTACGGCTTTCAGGAAGCATCAAGTCTCCGACGTTTGACTAACGGTCAGCATTTAACTAATCTTCAAGCATAAGGGATTACAATAAGGACGAAAGGATACAGACGGACAATGATAGTATTTATAACAAAATAAAGTAAGACTCAACTTTAGAAATGAAAATAAATGTGTACTAAAAGTGTGTAAGTCCCGTCCGTTCCGTGTACGAAAGATAATAATACTCTAACACAGAATAATAACAAGAACTACGTAGCGGTTCATGTTACAAATGATCGTACTACAGCTATATATAAAAGAGCAACACAGCCTGATATATTAATAGTGTAAAAACAAACTTTAAAAATGTCCAAACAAATCAAATACTAACCTGGATTCTGGTTGGATAAGAGGGCGGTGAGAGGGGTTTCGAGGGGAGCACTGGTTTCTTTTGGTGGCGCAGATGTAGCGCATCACCAGAAACGGATTTAGACATCACAGGTGGCACGACAGAGTTACCATTACGTTTGGATTCTCGAATAGATTCTGGAAAGGTAATTAAAATAAGATGGGGAAACGGTGTAAATCATTTTTAAAAATATTTGTTTGTTTAATTATTAGTAGTGTTGTGTGTTAAATATGTTGACAAATATAAATCGCGTGTATCATCAATCGAAAGTGAAATATCTGGCGGTAGAAGGTTAAGAAGATCAAAGAAAGGAGAACGAGAACATACAGTGATTGGTGTGGAAATAGAGGAACAGCAAAGTATGAGACAACTGATTGATATTTTCGTACGTAAATGAAGAATTTACTGCATGGTTCTTAGATTTTACTATGAGATTCTGTAATTCGATTATACTCACTGGTGTTCTCGTTCACTACAGTAGCAGCTTGTTTATCTATAAGTACAGTGTCAGAAGAATATAAATGATGGTAGCATATGCAAACACATTATGTCATACTTCTGGAAACCAACTAAAAGGTCATTAAAATACGGGTAATCCTATAATACGTAGTCAGTCAGTTGGTTAGTCATTATTGTCGAGCCTAGCATAGATGTGTGTTGACTACGTCTCCATATCGTACTAGTACGAGATGAAATTGATATGATTAATAGCAAAGTAAATGGGAATAAAGACAGGTTGCCTGAATTTGCCACATCCATGTGTATTAACCAGTTCAACTGCTCCTGTGGAGCCAGGGTGTACAATTCGGCAAGTTCGTGAGAACGATTTTTAGTCACGTCAATCAACGTCTTCGACAAAGATTGCTGTTATCGTGTAAACCTAGATCAGGTGATCCGCGTCTACCAACATAGATCAGACAAACAATCAATGATTTCCTGGACTTATATTTACGTGTTCTTTGAAGTGACTGTTAGTTAATAACATAGCCAGGGAGGTAATAAAAATACCACTTCGAATAAGCATCGGTAACTTAAATGTAGTCAGTATTGATATTTACACAGAAAATAGTTTCAACATACATGAGAGATAATCAGAAACCTCAGCTAGCTCAGTTTAAATTTAACAACTTATTAAGTTTACGATGACGGAAAGCGATGAAAAATAATTATAAGTACTTACAAAGTTTAAATCACGAACTGGTCTTAGACAGACCACCACTGAATACCTGAAAGAACTGGACGGCAGTTTTGTCCTAGTATAGGACTTCTCAGAATTGCGGATTTAGGTTAGTAGTTCGCAGGCGAGACCGAAAGTCTTGGGTTTATTTCTCAGATGCAAGGTCATGGATGCTCACTCCCAAGTTTCATACTGGAACGAACCAGCTGTTTAGTGCTCCCAGGTTCCCAATAAGTTGCCCAACTAAGATCAATTCATGATCCCCTATACTAAAACTAAATACTTGTTAGGCTGGCGGTGATGTTTATGTATTCTACGTACACCAGCCGATAAATTGAAAAAGAAAGGACACATATGATAAAAGTAAATACGAACAAGTTTGTATACAGGTGTGTTCTCACACACACACATGTCTCTCTTCTGAGGTAAGTTTTTTTAAATTGCGCTTTGCTTTGTATATATAGTTTCTTGTCCATAGAAAGTGATCATTATCCTTTTAATTTTTCTCATCTTGTTGAGAAGGACTGAGTTCAAATTATCTGAGAATGTTGATTATGTTTGATTTTACATTGAACAGATCAATCTGTCAGAAAAATTATAACTCCTTAATCCTAGGTATTTTCCAATGGTTAAAACTCCACATTATGTTTAATGACTAATTTTCCCTCGTTGTCGTCATATTTCGTCGTAGATAATTCAAGTGCTGTTTCGTGAGTTTTTTTTTGTATCAATTATTTATTCTTCCACGTAGTTTTACGTATTTGCTATGTACTATGTACACATGTTCTCTGTAATCCAGAAGTATTTTAACGAAGAAAAAAAGTCCACTAACTCATTTAAATCGATTATTATATGGTTATGTGATTAAGTAACGTGGTTCATTATAATGCTTCTATAAAAATCTTTATTTTATTTACGTAAAAAATCATGTGTAAAAATTGCATTCACATGGTAGAAAATAACGAGCGAAAAAATATATGAGATTTTATAACATACTAATCATGTTTTATTTACTGAACTTCATATAATACATGAGAAGCATGGTACAATGGAATCACAGTTTAACTTATCAAGACAACTACTGATCTGAAAAAGTTGGTGAACTGTAAATCTCTTATCAAGAAAGCCAAATTAGTGATGTATAGCGTGAAATTAAGTGAATAGACAAACATTTTGAAAAGTAACTAAATCGACATTTTGTAATTCCGTAATGAATTGCTACTGAGAAAAACACCTAAACTGTGACACTGACACTCATAGCTTTTTATATTCCATTAGAACTGAAAAGACAGTGCGACAAGGTTGAAACAGAGAAGCATTGCTTTGAGGTGACTTTAAGTTGGGAATCAGAATAAAGTTGACAAAGTCGCATCGGTTTGGGTTACATATTAAACTCATGAAGCAATATGATCATTTTACACTTTTTTAGACAACATATAGTGCCAAAGTATCTGTATTTTAGTATGTTACATTGAGTTTTAACTTCCAGTGGATTTAAAATAGAACAATCAAAATGGATGTAGTCTAAATAAAAAGCTATCTTAGAGTAAAAATCATATTTGTAAGCCTCAGGTTCATATTACAAGCAAACTCACCGGGTCTTTTTGCCACATGCACAGTATTAGCAGACGAATGGACAGGTCTTGCTTTATTTGTCGTAACGTTTCCAGAAGTAGTAACAGAACGAGACATTGTTAAACGTTCGAATACAGAAATAGTTGGTTGTCTAGATCGTCTCTCAATAGAGTTGGAACGTGTAGAACTAGTGGAATCTGAAGGTGGGACCATATTTTCCAACTTAGCTATAACAGATGAGATTAGGTATTGATATTCATAGAATTTCCTTGATTTAGAAAAATCACAAGTAGTAAAATCACAGTTGATTATCTTAAATAATCGGCTTATTCTTTGAAGGAAAAGATGAAGCAATATGCCAAATGAGATTTCGATTAATGAATTAACACAAAACTTAATCAATTACACGAGAACACCAAAATGAGCTATTTTCTCCTAAGTGACTAAGTTAAGTGTTATTTAGCTTAAAATTGTCCTATGATATATTGTTAAACAACTAAAAACTATATACAAATGATCTCACGGTAAAAATATTCATCAATTAACTGAATATTGTACTCTGGAGAATGTCAGCTATCGTGCCACTAGTATTCGTAAATGAAACTAAGTGAAAACTAAATGGTATAGATTCAAATTGAAAAGTAAATTGTGTTCAAAGTAAGTCCCTTTTATTTATCATAAAAATGTTGAAAAAGAAAAAAAATCACAACACAAACCATTTAGGATGCACACTTAACTAAATGAAGTCATTGAGAATATAAACCATCAACAGAATATTGAAGAAGAAAAAAACATCTAAGACGTTTGGTGTAAAATTCGCTATTGAATAAATCAGATGTAACAACAATGTGTCACCGACCTGGAAAATTTAAGCGAATTTTCAATTCATTATTTTGAATAACATTGTATGAGTCGTTTCTTTACAGCAACGACAACATCGAACTTTTCACATAAATGATCATTTAGAATAATTTCGAAATACAAGTGAACACTTGGTCAAATTTGAAAAAGTTAAGGAAGTAGATCACTTTTCCATAAATCATTACAAATATCATGACCACAGAATTTTATACCGTTAAGGTAAATTTTGTGATTTGATTACAATTCAGTAACAATTTCATGAATATGAAGATTACTGAAAACAGATTCTACTAGAAAATCTAGAGACAAACGAACTCTGGAGATAATCGTCACTCTGATCTATTTTTACGACAAGGGGGTTTTCATAATTTAAATTACGAACTGATTTTAGATAGACTACCACGGGAAACCTGGGAGCGATAAACACCTGTTTTGTCTTAGGATAGGACTCATCAACAGTGGGGATCCACAATCCCACCGCAAAGAATCGAATAAAAGACAGTAAGCCTCACACGCAGACGCCTAACCTTTAGACCATTGAGCCGTCACACAATGGTGTAATGTCTAACTTCAAACAATTCATGATAGCTCACGACAACTGTTCATTCTCTATGGTGGATGACTACTCATCTATGGCTGATTAATGAATGTAAATGAGTTAGTGTAACTGATTCCACGAGAAATTACTCTGACAAATTTAAAGTAGAGCTAGTAAACAAGTCAAAGACGAGAATGAGAAAAACTGTAAAGGTTGTTAAATGTTCCGTGGGTACTAATTCTGACATATAAAGTTCAAGATATAGAAAAACCCAAGTAATTAAAACTACAAAGAGTACACGTTCAATATGAACGATGAGAGATATCAAGATAGTAAATAGTTTGGATAACAGCTAACATTAGAATCTAGAATGAGAATGCTGTCCTATTTAAGACTCATTAGTTAAATGTACCAACCTTTTTTCCTCATTTGCCCAAAAAGAGTAAATTCCACTGATAACCATCTTCAAAATATCCACTTTTTAATCTAGGGAATATCTAGAGATGATGGGGAAGATTTGTGACTCAAATGAGTGGTTTTGGAAGAATTTCACTCTCTGAGCTGGATGATTTAATTATGAAGTTTTCATTGTCTTTCTGGGCATCATCAAATGGAAATGAGATTTGAGAACGCAACTACACTACTGCTTAGAAATCTATTAAGAGAGCTCGTAATCCGAAAAAAGTCGATTATAAACACCACGGAACTTAAAACGTTTACAGATATTAAAAGCTATCAGTATGTTTTGAACAAAAACATGTTTGAGTATAAGCGTATTTTTTCCAAGAATGGTGTCAGAGAAGTGAGTTTTTGGTCAAGAATTAATGAGGGAAATGAGAAAAATGAGTATAGTAATAACATCACAAACATGAAAGCGATATTTACCTGTATGTTCTTTCGTTTTCGATGTATTTGCGGGTGCAGTAATATGTTTTGGCACTTTGGGATGATGATTAAGACGCCCAATTTTATCACATTCGTTGGATGAATTAGATCGACTTGAAATTACTAAAATTAAAAGTGGTAGACCATTTAGGAGTTTAAAAAACATATGTATGATGACAAAAATCGGCATGCAATTAAAACACCTACGATGATTTAATTAAGAGATTATTTTCACGATGAATGGAAAGTGACCAGATTGATTTGATGAAATAAGCTGAGGTGATGAAAACGACGAGTACACCGAATAAAACATATTTGGAAATGCACTATACCCTAATTACAATACACACAAATGTTGCTTAAACTCTGTAATCCTGATTCTAAATAAAATATGAGTTGAGTTCTGTTAGACCCCAATTAAGACGTGAGGTAATCATGTAAAAATGATCAAACATCGAGCTGATTTACTTGACAACTGACGAATAAGTTATTGATAGAATTGAAAGACTATGAACTACGAAATTCCGTGTGTGATACGTTGTTTTTAATAAGTGATCAGCAACACCAAAAACTACAAATACAAAACCACTAATATCTCTATTCACTGCTAAACTGTCAACATGGCTAACTCAATCCCATATATTTACTATAAATTAGTAAGCTACAAACTAAACTTATCAAAAGATTTGAATAGATCTAAACCAAAAAGATAAAAATAAATCAATTAGGTAGCAAATAACAGTACAACATGAAGATACAAACAGATTTCTTTTTCATGAATAAACAGGCAGGCAGATTACCACATTATTGATTTATATAACACTTTCAACTAATCACAGGATGTGATATGACAGACACAGAAAATAAATATGAAAAGCAATGTATTATAGTTTAATTAATGAGTTTTAAGCAAATTCAATGAAAGCTAGAAAAATAACCGTATTTACTCGCACTCATATACATGTGAACACATCAGAAAGCGAACAAAATGATAACGACATGCTAGAAGAAATATACACAAACTTAATGGTATACATGTGAAGCTAAGGCACATTTAACTTAAACTTATTGTCTTTCGATTCAGTGGTTGCTACATTAAAAACCACAGATTTATGACAGTTCATTTATAACATATCTATAACTTGAAGTCTACTCATCACATTGACAATCCTATTTTATGATGGAGCAGTAATTAGTTACTTAGTTTACTTTGTAGGCATTTATTTTATTTATTTGAACACATAATTACTGCTACGAGGGGGCACCAGTTACATATGCGCCACACAAATCTCATTTGATTTGTGTGAGGGCTGGGATACTGTCCGGGTGCCCAAGCCGAAGCAGGTGGTTCTCCTAGGGTGTCACGCCCGGAGCCTTCGACCTGAAGGTCTGATCCACAAGGCAGTGGAGTATCGTAAGGAGATGCAGTCCCATGGTAGCCGGTGACCAACGATTGGTTCATACGCCATTTGTTTCCTCAGGATGCTGGAGCCCATGTGCACCATTGGTTTGGAATCAGGGTTTTCCAACTGCCCTGGTATGGCCGAGAGCGGGATGGGTTTGCCTTCCCTCTCGAAATACTCTCACACGGCCGCGCGTATACAGCCTCTGCCAGGGAAGTCCTACTCACTGCCTTCTCGTACCACGGGTGTTGTTTACGAAATTGAGAGGATGAAAAGCGAATGTCCGGTGCTTTAACCTGATTCCAAATCTATGGTGCACATGGGCACCAGTATTCTGCGGGAACAAATGGCGTATGAACCAATTTTCGGTCACCGGCTACCATGGGACTGCATCTCCTTACGATGCTCCACTGCCTTGTGGGTCAGATCTTTAGGTCAAAGGCTCGGGGAGTGGCCCCTTAAGATAACCACCTGCTTCGGTCTGGGAACCCGGGCAGTATCGCAGCCCACACGCAATTAATGAACTGAAATTGTGTGGCGCATATATATCTGGCGCACTCCTGTACCAATATATGTGTTCAAATAAAATAAAATAATAAAATAAAATAGGTGGACTCTCAGTGTCCACCAACCCGGCTAAAACGCCGGACATCCGCTTTTCGTCCTCTCAATTCTGTAAACAACATCCCCCCCACGAGAAGGCAGTGAGTAGGACTTCCCTGGTAGAGGATATATATGCGTGGCCATATGAGAGCATTTCGAGAGGGAGAGCGGACTCACCCCACTCTCGGCCGTACCAGGGCATTTAGGGGCTTTTAGGCATTACAATAACTAAACTGTCAACTTGCAAACAACACTAAAACATTGAAAGCAAACTATTATCCAGGTTCATTATTATTAAATACAACAGCCTCACTATAAAAGACTTAACGTATGCATAAAGATAACTGGGCAATCAATGTGAAACATAAATTTAGGAAGCCAACAACCATGATTAGACTTTAAAACTTACACTGAATAACTCTTTTAATTCGGAGATATTTTAAATAAAGGATAATAAATTTATAATAAGACAAGAATATCCGAATAGCATGATAGCTTTTGCAACAAATAATATTGAAATACTACAAGAAAGATCCTGGTTAAATTGATTCAAGTTAATTTTGTAAACACACGGATGCATGTTTAAAAAACTCCAGAACAGAAAGTTAAAATGCGGATTAAGATAAATCGTGAGTGCACTAAACAAGCGACAAAAAGTTAATCACCAGTTTATTGAGAATGCTGAGTATTATATGGTGGCGAAATGATAAATTAACTTTCTATCCTACCAAAATAATAAAATTACATTTTAGACTACATTAGTGTAAATATCTACGTTTAAAGAGTAGCATGCAAGTATAATTAGCTTGAGAAAACCCGAATAAAAGTATGAGAGAAGCTTCACCGCATGAATGAATGAAAGCTGAACATATATAAAAGCATATATGAGAGATATAAGAATCGGCATGCATGACATATGATACTCCGTTTCAGAGAAAACAACGTTTTCGTATGCGGGGGTAGCAGGCACGATAGGGATGCAGACAAACCTTCACTGGTTCGATTACTCTCGACATTGTGCCCATCAGGAACTGTGGTAGTGTTTGGGGATTTCAAGACTTTAGTGCTGATAGGTTGACCATTTTTGAAAACAGTGTCTCTGTTAGTAAGAGAATTTTGTTGACGTCGAGCATGAGTAACCCGAGTGAATGAAGACTTAGTATGACGCAAAACAGAGGCATGAGCTGAAGCAGCTCGCCTAGACTGCGTTACACCTCGATTACAGGGCCTCGATTTATACACAGAGATTTGAGGCCGAGGTCCATGTGATGTATCTATAAAGCACGAATAATAAGGTGCTGCAGCTGCTGTAAAAAAGCACCCACTATGTCGACCGGTAAGGTAGCTAGCTAATCGCGCTTCAAAAGCCTGTTTCAAACGTAAAGCTGCTGCACTTGGTTGCGTACATATAGAGCGCGGAGCGCTGCTTCCAAAGGCGACCACACACGAAGTTGTCATAAGAGTGCTTGGATTTCGCGAGGTTCCCAAAGAAGGAGAAGCACTTGCAGTACGGCCAGAGTGATCATGTTCTGCAAACTGGCGGCGAAACGTATTGTTTCCTGAACGGTTAGCCGACCGTTCTCGAAGTCGTTCTATCCGTGCCTGAAAAGAGATTTTTAAAAAAATGAGTTTGTGGCAATAAGAAAGATTATAAGAGGATTCGGATAAACTTGAAAAGATATCAAAAATCCTTCGAAAATTGTACGAAGGAGTGGAGAAACTAAACATAAAACTCGTATGTCCGGTGAAAACACAAAAGATACTCTGAATCTATCTGAAATACTTCTCAAACCGAAGCGAAGTAATAATTTCTACTTAATAATTACGCTTTAATTAGATGACTTTTGCTTGACTTAAATAATGTGATGAAATTAAATTTATCTTTGTCTTAAACGCGAAAATAGATGGATGATATGACGGGACGAAAAGTTAAAATTATATTGATTTACTCATTATGGTTTCTGTTCAACATTACTTCCATTTTAAATCAATGTAATGGTTACTCAATGTAGTTTTTGTTTTGTTTCCCCGCATAACATTTTATTATGTATAACACACGATATTTTTGTTTTAAGTTAACATAAACTACATTCAGCATATGATTTGTTATAACTAATTATTTTTCATATATGTGATTTTATTCTAATTATTAATCAAAAATGGGTGTATGAATCAATATATAAACGTGTATTTTCGACTAAACTTTCTCCTATAAGTAGTTACTTTATTCGATAAAATATAATCGGAAGTAGCTTATATTAGAAGCCCCGACCGTAGCTGCTACCTTAACGTGATGGTCGGGCTTGCCTATCGTGATGACCCAACCGAACTATATTGGCTGGAACATATGTTCCTGCAGGTTCTACCATGCTAGGCAGGTCGATTGGAGAACGGTTAGACTAAAAGCAGCAACTCAAGGTCTGAGGGCGAAGTCGTACTGCTGACTGTAGAGGAGTATGACAGCAGTAAGGTGTTTCCCTTGGACAACCAGAAACTGCAGCGACGCTGCCTTCTTACAAGGAAGGAAGGGGTTAGAAAAGGTCCAGGAATCAGTTTGACTAACACAGTGTCTAAAATATTAGCTTCAATAATACTTCGATGCCTAACTAATACTCGCGAAGAGCAGACTAGAGAAAACCAGGCTGGTTTTCGACCTGGATGTGGTTGTATAGACAAGATATTCACACCACGTCAGGTCCTAGAACATAGACACACATTCAGACACCCCACAATAGTAATATTTTTCAACCTCAAGGCGGCATATGACTCTGTTGATCGTGAGGTTCTGTGAGTGTTTGTCACTGTAAGGAGTACCAAAGAAGTACGTTAACCTTGTAAAGGCTCTCTACTCAAACACAACTGGTCGAGTGAGAGCTTATGACGAACTGTTATCAGAATTGATTACCTCCAGTAGTGTTCGTCAGGACTGTCCACTCTCTCTATTCTTGTATGACTTTGTCGTTGACGTGCTCTCAGAGACAACATTTTCTTCATCTAAATTTTCAGGAGTTGAACTTTTACCGGGAGATTCACTTGTTGACTTAGAATATGCTGATGACATAGTTTTTTTTTATTATTATTAATGGCTTCATTCAATATTATCTTTTTGGTACAATATAGAATTCTATTTGGTGAAGACGCTGACAAAATGCAGTTTTCTGACCACTATAAGCAACAATCCAACCATGTTCGGCATGCGATTCTCCCCTCGAAATGCAAAATGTTTCTTCAGGATTGGGTTGCACCGACACCCCAACTAATGATAGGGAGTGAAGTAGTTGAACGTGTCGACCGCTTCACTTATCTCAGAAGTCTCACCAGCCCTTGTGATCTGGTGTGTGACGAAATCTCAGCACGGATACAGAAGGCTCGACTAGCTCTTGCCAACTTGCGTCATTTATGGCGTAGGCGAGATATCTGTCTATCAACCAAAGGACAGGGTTACTGCGCAGCAGTTCGTTCCGTCCTACTTTATGACAGTGAAACATGACCAGTAAGAGTAGAAGACATTCGTAGGTTACTATTATTTGATCATAGGTGTCTTCGAAACATTGCTCGTATATCCTGGGACCATCGAATAAGTAACGCAGTTGTTAGAAAACGGGTACTAGGTAAGGATGGCTAATCAATTGATGAAGTAGTGTTACGTATGCCCAACCACCGACTGCCCCGACGTGCGATGTCCAATGGCATAGGAGTAGGTTGGAAGAAAGCCAGGGGTGGCCAGACCAAAACGTGGCATAAATCCATGAAGTCACTGACAAGTGAACTGAGCCATGACGGTAGGTGTAGAATACCTGGTTGGGATCCGCGAGACAACAGCAACCGATGGTTAGAGACCTTGAATGACATAGCTCGAAACCGTTTGCAATGGCGCAGGTGCATCACTCCTTGTGTTCTCCCAAATTCTGATCTTCTGGACTCTTCATGTCCCTTTTTAAATTTATTTCACTGGATTATACTCCTTGAATAACATCTTCAAGTCTTAATCTTTCCGATTACTGCATATAATTTTATTACTTCCACAACTACGGGATTTGAATCGACAACTGCATTTCTGTATGGCAACTCGAACTGATGTACGTACGTACGAAGTTCTACGTTGTTACTAACTGATTGACTGATATTAGGAGCTCATTTAAAGCGTCGACACAAATCGAAATTTCGACACGCAGTTTCTGCAGCATTTTTAAACCATAAATGAATGTTATTGTAAAATCGAAAATAGTCTAGTGACAGGATTAACTGAAGTCTGTCTAACACTAATATAAGTAACACGTAGAAAACGAAAAATATCAAGAAAGCCCTTTTTCAAATACTTTCGTTCGCGCACTTGAACAGTATCACTAGCCCTCAAACACTAAATCGAACACACTACCCTGTGTTTAATGAAATTAGATCATGGGGAAAAATAACTTAAATGTCATTTTCATTACAAATTTCCACTAGAGGAAAACTAAATACTATGAACTGATAACAAATATGAGATGAAAATTATTGTGAAAATAGTCCGTTTATTGGCAAACGATAAAGTAAAAAGTGAGAAAGAACGAATCCTGCATTGGGATTCATGGTATACAGCAAGTCATAATCAAGCCAGTTTGAAGCAAATGTGTAATAGCTGGTTCTCACACCAGATCAAGATAGTGGGATGAAATTAGCACAACTTATACTTGTAACATATCTTTAGAAATGTTATTTATAGGTAGAAATATCAGTGGAATTTGGCAGAGGAAAAGCAGCTGATGGTTCCCATCACGGAGGGCTTTAAAATAAATAGTAAACGGTTTTCGGACTGTTAGAATGGAATGCCTATCGATAGATGAAATGCAATGAGATGATGTGGTCGTGTGATGGCTGCTGATGGAACAGAATCATTGACTCGAAATCCTGAGTGATTCGATATAAAAAACGATCACTTGCCAGATGATTTCTAGTAAAGTGATATACTTATAAGGATGACCAGACACCATTGGGAAATGCAAAAAGTTAATTTTGTAGGTTAGTCGCTTTCTGACTACAATCTAACTCTTAAGCCTAATTCTTTCATAAGTGTTAACTAGAACAGGAGATATTTGGACATAAAGCCCACCACCCAAATACCTTATTAGATGTTAAACTACTGAGAGAAATTATTAACAAGTTATTAATTAGGAAAAGCCTACTTGATTAGATAATTCCAAGGCTGCACGTCGTTCTAGTGCACTAAGTCGGCGCATTTGTTCCTTTTGTCGCATTTCTTCAATTCTGCGCTTTCTTTCCTCTTGTTGGCGCATACGTGCCATTTCGGCTTGTTGTTGGGCTTCTACGTAGGCTGCGTAACGTTGCTGCTGTTTAAGTTGTTCAGCGGCTCTAACGCGCCTGAGTCGTTCTTCTATTGACAGTGAAGCACTTGAACTTTGATTTGAAGGAGCGTGGTAATGTTGGGAGCTATCAGCGCTATTTGGTCTAGTGAGCTCTGTTTTGGTAAAATGGAGCGGTAGAAAAGGTAATCATACTAGACAGTACTAGCTATGCACAATGCAGTACTCAATATACATTTGTATCGGCTCTAAGCTGTTACAAAACAAATCTGCAACAGAAAACTGAGAATAACAGAACTAAGCTGTGGCACTTTCCAGGAGCTCGCAAAAGAGAATTTAGTGGATCACAAAAATACACGAACGGACATGAGACAGTATGTCTGAAATCCAAATTAAGTTGAAGTAATAAAACTGATAGTAAACCAGTATGGAACTCAAGTGAATAAACAACGTTCCTTCTTCGGAACTATTTTCAACATTGGTGTCCGTAACTTGTTGGTGTTCATTCATCTAGCCTTGCTCCAAAGACGTCTTTGACAGAATTTCTAAAGTTTTATCTCCCTTCAGGGGTAAGATTAAATACCTCTTGATAAACATTTGTCTTTGATTTGCAAGGCAACACGGTATTCTGGAACTGTGCTAGGGAAGTATTGAGAAACTCATATGAAATCGTGAAAGCTCTTTACAATAGCAATTCATATATAACAAGGTCATACAATAGCTGTTCTGAACCATAGGCTGAACTAGATGCAAAAGCACATCTTTCTTAGGTAATTATAAATGACAATTTCAGACAAGATCTGGAGGAAGTGTGTCATGGAGATGAGTACCCATTATCTCGGAAAAAGCTTTCCAACTTTGAGTAGACAGTAATACAACAAACAAACTACAGAAACCCCCGTCACTCGGTAAGTAAAGTTTGTGCATGAACGATGGATTCTGGGCCACCGAAACAGAATTTGCTTATGTACGAGTGGTAGAGGCCCAATTTATTAGTATAAATCGTTACTGAACTAATCTGAGGTGCACAACTCGGCAGTGATGGTAGTTCTGCCCTATGGCCTACAACTCTAAATAGAGGACATTTGACGTCTTTCCGTATGCAAGCTTTTCTTGATAATGACTGTGAGGAAGATGGGCTGTCAGTCTGACATGGTAGAGTGTGATGAACGATCGTAGTTCCACACGAAAAGCTGTCGAATCATGACTTTCCACATGCAGTCGTAGAAACCCTACAAATACATTAAAAACGACCGAGTCAAGGTCGGTAGCAGTTCTGCTGTAGTTTGTTTTCCATGAGGATCCAAACTTAAAACCTTCCTTACGCTATTAAATTTTCTTTGATAGCAGACACGCAGAGACATATATTCAATCCATTCTTCGCAGTTAGATTAGCTATGGCTCAGACAAGATGACCCGTCACCTTTAGTCGTGTTTACAAACATTTGATTGATGGTCTCAAGTGGATGGTGAATTTAAACCGAAAACTAATGATCCCTGCGACTAATAGGCTTCAGAGTATGTAAACATGTTAGTATTCAGACTGCATTTGAAGTTGAGTCGTGTCCAAACATTGAGGGACAGAATGCCTATTTGATCGAAGTACACACTTAGAATAAGAGATGATTTAGTAGTCGTTATTATCAAGCTGATTCAAGAAAAAACTAGGTCGCATAAAGGGAGGAACACATCCACAAGTCTACCTTTGGGTGGTTCTTGTCTTTGTACTGCTTTTAGTATACTGACCAGTGAGGATACAATATGAATCACAGAAAAATTGCTAAGTAGGGACAAACCTGGATCTTGAGTTGCGCTTCCAGATCCCGTACTATGAGACCCATTAGGCACTTGCTCATCAAATGATTGGCTATATATCCCATTAAGCTCCATGGCTCCCTACAGAAATATTATGAAAAATAATGACCATTCTTAGGTACCTATAGCGAAATGGCAACAGGAAATTGTAGTATATTCAGGAACACTCACAAACTACTTGTACCCATACATTCGTAAAACTACTTTTCAAGCACCGCCAATAAGCTTAGGAATAAATATGGGAACATTCATCAGAATAAAGCAAAAACATTTTTAGTTCCTCACGAAATTAAATTATTTTTTTCTGCAAAGAAGTGTTAGATCATTCAAGGTTTCATGTTAAGTACTAGACCGACCTCAAGGCTGTGGAAGTGGGTCCTAGGGGTTGTAGCGGCAAATGATTAGCAAAAATAGATAATTTTGCGAGTCTTTGACATTAATTCCGACTTCGTTAGTTTTACTGGACACAAATAGCTGAAGGCTCTCAATCACACGTCCTCACCAGGTTACTAGTGGGTATGCTGTGCTACGTATCCCTTACAATTAATAGACAATCTCAAAATGTCAATAGCCCTCCAAATTCATCTTAGAACCCATTGATTTTCAACTTCTGATTTGACTGGGTTGGTATAGTTTGGTTGCGAAGATATTACGTGTAAAGTCGTCGAAATCCGAATACTTGTGGCATCTTTAGTAATGAGCCCGGCGTGATCTGGAACGCCAAGCAATATACTGTTAGTTCTTTCCTTGCTGTAACTCAGTATATTATTTTTTAATATTTTTAAATAATTGGTTTTGTATTTTCGAATGTTTTTCTCTCATTTGTATATTATTTCTCCTGCTACGTAGAAGCTGACTTTCATGGGTAAGGCGCAACAGACTCACATGATCACGTGCAGTTGTGAAGGCGCTAACGAGCGATTTTATTTAATACGTCACACCTACTATGTTTATTGGTGATTTCTGAACCTTCCGACACTTCAAAGGAGATTATCTTTAGACGTCGGGAATGAACCGACCGACAAATATTAGGTGACCTCTCCTACAACGTAGAGTCCCAACACAGCTCGGCAACGAATAACGCTACGTATGAGAGAGGCCACTTGTCGACGAACCTTTGCCAAGAGCCTTTTCAGCTCTTGTTGTCCAAGCTTCCCCAAGAAGTGCACGCGGTTCTTGTCTCACTCTAGAATAACGACGTAAACGAACTGAATATATCTGCCGACCGGATTCGGGAGACTGTCAGGACCCACAGAACTGTGGTATATGTTAGATATATATATATGACGTTGGTGAATTTTGAGTTAGAGACAAGCTTTTTAAAATCAGGATCTAAACTCTGGATCTTCAAAAAAGAGGGAGGTGCTATATCCTAGCGAAGATTGAATTACGAGTAACCATTAGTGGACTAATATTACTAATATATTCTAACTGTATAACTATTCAGTTACTAGATTGTGTATATTTATGTTTATCTTATTATAAGCTTTGTTTTCACCCATAGATTAATTATTGTACGATTCACTGTCCTTAAATTATACTCAGTTTATTGATTACCATCCCCCACGTTCAAAGCCACTTTCAGCTTCATCGTGTATAAATTTTACTTCCTATTTTATGATGCGATGAGATCTGTTTGGCTAGTATATAAGCCAAGTATGTCTGAAATAAATGATTCGCATAGCGGAAGCAGTTGTTGGTGTTCTGGACTAAACTGGACAGGCTTGGGGAGCAAAGGATCAATAAGGATGATAGGTTATCAGACCGCTCGAACGTCATTTTTTAAGTAAAGTACAAGAGTGAATACGTCGTATTTCGATTGACGGATTAAAAACTTTATAACATAAAGTCACAACAGTTTATACTATAAGGAAAAGTCTCCCTATACTACGAGAGGCAGGCAACCCTGATTAATGTCGGTACCGCAAAAACATATGGTACGTCTTCCAGGAATTTCAGAAAATCCATCGGTTTTTCAGTCGTAAATCTGTCTAACATGAATAATCTTTCGAAAAACATCCCCACCGAGACGCGTTTACTGCAACTGTAGCCGGCGGAAAGAGTCGTCCCTTATACATCACTGATGTGGTGACGAAAGTTCAGTATCTCGTTTACATTGACGCAGGATTCTAATGACCGTTTGCAAGAGCCAGTCTTCAACCTACAGGCGTTAAATGGAAAATCGTCCGCCACATATGGTAAGAGACATTTATGTTGACGTGAATTTACGCAAACTCATTCACCTAATTTTCGTTGTTGCAAGTGTTTCTATGTCAAACATTGGTGTGAACCTGCTACAACAACATAATCTACTCATTGACCCAGGAAAGCAGAGGTTACTGGATGGAAATACCAATTTATCTATATGTGGAGCTTCATTTTCTGGTAACAGGCTGTATCCATTCACGGTTAAGAATAAAAAGTGATATATACCTCAAACGGATGCTGAACGAGTACTCTGAAGTGTGTCAACCTTGACTAAAATTATCATGCATAGTCACTAGTGTTGTACACCACATCATGACTATAGGATTTTCGTGCCTTAAGGTAACCCTCGTGCTATTGATAGAAGAAACCAGACAAGTAGTGAATAGGTCTTTATTTCGATCTTCGCGCAGTCACAGTGGAGCGTGGGATTATCTGTTCAGACAAACAAAGGCTCTCAACATTCAGTATAAGATAATAAGGAATATAACGCTTATACAAAATAAGGAGGTGAATGAATACTTGAACAATACTGTTTTGGCATATGCTTGGTTGTTTGGAGTCAACTCTTAACCAACCAACCTAAGCTGTTACATTAGCTTCCTCCTAGAATCGACTTCCGTAGGAACGTCGGTTCGATTAACCTATCTTTCGAAAACACCTTAGTTCTACTTCTCATCCCAAGGGAAAATTATAAACTCGCTCACTGTTTGACTTATAATCAGTGACGACTAACGCTGTCAGCTGTCAACGATAGTCCATGGATGTCTCTTCATTTACTAGCTTGTCATCTTATTTTGTAGTATGTGATTTCTTCTACAACTATCGCTGACGGTTTGCTGCGTGCTTTCAAGAGAAAGAGTGTGAGAATGTGGAATAAGAATATCTGAGGAATTGCCGCGAACGGGCTACCCAACACCATGTTGGCGAGGTACGATTTTTCCATACTCAGACCGGCTATCAGGTGTTTACTCACCTGCCTCTTGAGTCGCTCTCCAGTAAAAAGTAAAGAAGAATCTACTTCAAAGGTAATGGTGAAAACCAATCAAACCTGAAAAACTGCTCTACTGCCTGCATAAAAATAATAAGATACAAAATGAAAATACATAAATATAATTGATAATTTTTCGGTTCCACGTAAGTGATTGGCCTCCAGAAAGGATAGGTATTCTGGAAGGAAATAGACATAGTGTAGCCATCTTGTGTACGAACAGGCATGAAAACAAAAAAATACTTTTTTATAACGCATACATGTAAAAGTGTAAACTTGCTAGAAGTTGGACTCATTGTCAAACCCGATCAAATGTATGACCTTGGGCCTATGACGACCGCCTTTTATAACCAGGTACGTAACCAAGGGTGCATTATTGTACTCCACAAAACGGAAAAGAATATACGGTTAACGAGAAAAAAAATTGTGTAGAGTATGAGGATCAAGTACAGTTGTGTCAAATACTCTTTTCTGGTTTGGTCTAAGTATGTATGATATATTGAGGCAATATTTCGTCAATTCATCCAAACAACGAATTTGTCTGCACCTTAGAAGTGTGTAAGTCCTATTACTCATTAGTATTATGAATGATTAATCGGTAAAAGTAAAAATTGCAGTCATTCACCTGTGGTTTGATGTGGTCTAATGGCTAAGCACACGGTCCAGCATTCAGGAGAGCAGAGGTTCGAGTGTGTGGAGCCTGCCTTTTTGTTCAACAAGACCCCCTTCAATACGATGTTTGTTGGCCGTAAGTTGCTTAGATATGAGAGAAAGATAACAGGAGGACGGATTGATATGTCAAAGTGTCATATTGGAACAGTATAGAAAAAACTACAAGTTTGGTAGATTTCCATTTTACGTTATAATTAAACCAACGAGAAAAAAAGTATATATATAAGTTATTGACATAACATGTCTTTTTTGTAACGCTAGTGTTAAGTTCCAGGATTTTGTATGGACCACTAATAATAATTGGTTTAACGTTAACATAGCCACGATAGTCATATCGTCAGTTCAATGTTATGACTACTTAACAGTTCCTTTATAATTTGTGTTTAAAATGAGGTATGTGGAATCAATGCGGCTAACATAGTAACCTTACAGTAACGCACTGTACTATATCTCCACGGTTATTGAATCTTAAATGTCAGAAATTTAAAAAAAATTTGAATATTGCCAATAATGATAGGTTATATGATCACACTAAAAAGCATGCTGCAGGAAAACTGGTTAAGTCATTACGTAAGTTTCGTAACCATGAAAAAAATTGATGAGAACTTTAATAGGTAATTGACCATGGTTTAATCCAAAATGCTTTGTCTAAAAAACACTTAATAATAGTAGTATTATTCGTATCAAGCTACTAAACATATCTTCGACCGAAAACTTTTAGAAGTAGTTCATATGGTTTATATGTATAGCCAGTCTACGTGAAAAATGTATATAGATATATAAGAAGTACCTCACCAACATGGTGTTGGGTAGCCCGTTCGCGGCACTTCCTCAGATATTCTTATTCCACATTCTCACACTCTTTCTCTTGAAAGCACGCAGCAAACCGTCAGCGATAGTTGTAGAAGAAATCACATACTACAAAATAAGATGACAAGCTAGTAAATGAAGAGACATCCATGGACTATCGTTGACAGCTGACAGCGTTAGTCGTCACTGATTATAAGTCAAACAGTGAGCGAGTTTATAATTTTCCCTTGGGATGAGAAGTAGAACTAAGGTGTTTTCGAAAGATAGGTTAATCGAACCGACGTTCCTACGGAAGTCGATTCTAGGAGGAAGCTAATGTAACAGCTTAGGTTGGTTGGTTAAGAGTTGTATTCTGGGAAGCGCACTGATGGGTTATCGAAAAACTAATGTTTTCCAAAATTTAATTTGAGCACATAATATACTTGAAAATTATTCCGCCATCAAAACGGCCCATTTATATCTTCCTTGATCATTGTGACTATCGGCGACTGGATGCGAAACCCACTTCCTACCGTTACCTCCAACCGCTCATTCACGAACACACGGCTACCCTAAAAGATACGATCGTTCTCTCAAATCGATCTGATTGAAGTGTACAACCCCTGGCTACAGAAAAAACATTCCTAAAATGGCCATTATCAAACCCTCGC